TTTTTTTGGTTGCAATGCCTTAAGGGATAACATGGATGTTTTGTCAGTTTGGATGTTTTGGGCAACATTTGGCACTGTTTTAGTACTTTTTGGATTCTTTTGGATGTGGTTTCTGAGAAGTCGTTATTTTTCTGAGATACTTTTGATATCTTTTAATTACTTTTAGTTTTAGTGTTTTAGTGCTGGAAATCAAAGACAGTTCTTTCTCTGGAGGTCTTTATCCAATGTTTTTTTGTGTGTTTTTCAATTTTTGTTGGAATGAAATTAAGATGTTAAGTCGTGTTCGCCATCATTTGGCAATGTTTTAGGTTTTGGGATCCTTTTGGAGGGGTATTTGAAGGCGTCGTCATTTTTCTTGATGTTTGAGATGCCTCTTGGCATGAAAGAAGATGTGGGAGAATGAGGACTGTTGGATGTCAAAAGGTTCATGATTCATGAAGATTTTGATGTTTCTGTTTTGTTCATCCAGGTTTTTCACTTGCCTTTCTTTCTGCTCACCTCAGTGGTCGCCCCGTCAAGGTGCACATTGTAGGGACATTGCTGACCCACGGATGTGACCATGATATCATGGTCGTTTCACATCCACTCGGTGGAGGGTCGGCAAGACCTGCTCTTCAAAACATGTTCTTTGGCCATGGCCATCTACCAACTAATTCAATTGGACCTTTCTCATTTTCGCTTTGCCAAGATGGCAAGATGTTCATGAAACAATTGAAGAGGAGACTCATTGCCTCATGGCCAATCACTTCGGGCCGGCTTGTCCAGGCAGAAGAGCTCTATCTTAGAGCTTTGAAGGGTTACAAGGCTGGAAGCTCGACGACTCTAATGGGCGGGTTCAGTTAAAGATATATAAACAGGTCTAAGGTCCAATTGATCAACATGGATCTTGGGCTCACTTGGAGAGATCATTTTTGATGCAGATCTTCTGATCTCCCCCCACTGGTTGGGACATCGCACCAGCATCATCTCGTTTTTCCGCAGCCCGGACCCGTTGAGACACTTTGAGATCCTTGAGACCTCAACCATTCGTTCCCATGGAAGCTCTGGGATCTCCAAGGATCTCTCTGGGTGCATCTAATAAGGATTGGGCGTTTTCAAGAAGGTCTTCAAAGGCATGCACACAAACCGCATCAACAATGTTCTTTCCGCATAGACAATGTTCTTTCCGCAGCAACAATCTTGTTTTATACACATTTTAAATCTTTTGGATTAAAGGAATAACTTTCCGAACACTAAAGAAGAACTCTAGACAATTTTACACAAAGTTTACAATGTTCTAAAGAACTTGTCAACATGCATGTCCCAACACTGGCCGAACACTAATATAAAGCTACAAGTTTCTCTTTGTATTTACAAATAACAACCGTTTGTCGCCCGAACACTGACCGAACACTAACATTTTGTGTAAACTTGTTTCCTTGTTTGAGCATTGTAACTTCTAGAAGAAGTTGTAAAATAAACTTGCAACTTTAAAAATAAGTTGTTGAAAGAAGTTGAAAGTTATCACAAGAAGTTGAAAGTTGCAAAACAAAAAGAAATAAAGTTGCTATGGCTGTGTTACGTATAGGCTTATTCCAGGTACAACCATCGCAGACCTTTTGAGAACACTCAAAATAAGGACATTGAGTTATCCACAGAGACGACATGAGAGGCTCCATCTTCACCATTTCTCCATTCCGTGAAGGATTGGGATCTGCTCTTGAAGTAACTCAACCAAGTGGAGCTTTGTATTTTCTTCGTCCTTCCCATACGACAGAATGTTCACGGAAAGAAGAGAAGAGTCATGGCCAATCACGTTGGGTCGGTTCTGTACAGGCGGGAGAGCTCTATGAGAGACACTTGAAGGGCCTGGAGGCCAGTCAGACCAATATGGAAGTGTGACAGGTTCAGTGGGCGGGCTCAGCTGCAGATAGAAAATGATAAACATGTGAGCCACGGTCAAAACATGCGAAGACCACTTTAGTAAAGAGGGGTAGGTTTGTGCACAAACCCTGCAAAATGAAAGGGTCCACCTCAAAACCGATAACCCCAGCGCTGTATATGATCATAAGTATGCGACGAACTCAAAACGATAAGGTCCAACTCAAAACCGATGACGTCCATGTTTTAGTTGAAGAAGAATAAGGCAAGGAGTTTTGACCGTCCCTCATGTAGATTCTAGATATCCTCATATCATATATGTCCGATCTGTTTCTGAGCGATGTTGGAGGTCATTCACTTGGCCGGATAGGTCCAGACATTATTGAAGCTTTTGAACCAGTTCATTCGGCTTCTGCAATGAAAGATCTTTGATGCGCCCCCGGGGCCCCTGGTGTGGAGCATAGTTCTCAGTACCCAGCCCAGCCCAGAGAAAGGCCACCCTGGCGCTCAGAGGATCCAAGATTGACATGAATAGCTCTTCATCCGCAGGAGCTGCATGGCCCGGACCACGAGAAGACCCGAAAATATCGCAGAAATCTGGAGCACTTCCGCAGGAAACATTCCACTGGGTGAGGCGTGGAACGGTGGGAAACATCAGAGACTGAAGCCGCCATTCGTCGCATGTTTGGGGAGGCCTGGGAGACAGGGGTGACCTACAACTGAATGAGGTCGAACAAGTTGTCATCCTTTGCAGCAATAGATCTAATCGCTTCCTTTTACTCCCCATTCTATAGCCTCTTGCGTTGGTCATGGAACCCCCGTAACACGCATGGGGCAGATGTTGCAAGCCAAAGAGCAGGGGCATGTGGCGCCTCAGTTGTCCACTGTGCGCTCCCCTTTTTCAGTGGAGTTCTTCAATTCTTGTGAAACGAGTAGTGGAACCTAAAGCAGCCAACACACACACAAGCCAAGCGATCAAAATCAAAATGTGGCAGGTTTTGGAGCTGTTGTAAGGTGATGAGATGGTCGTGAAGCCCATTTTCATCCTGCATGTGGGCACCTTGTGATGAAGTAGCAAGACGCAGCAAACTCCTTAGATGATCTGATGTGATTTGAGATCCGTATTGCCTTGAATAGACGACTCTAGTCTTTGAATGTCTTTGATATAGATCCTCCTCTTTTCGCAACCCGTTTGGGATTCTTTGTCAATTTGTTTGCTCATTTCTGTTGGTCTTTCTTTGCAAGTGGAAACCGACATCACGCTCCATCACGCTCCATCACGCTCTGCTCTCTCAAGGCATTCCCAAACTTTTCTCCGACTATTCACCGAGCTGTGTGGACGCTCTGAACCACGTGGAGATGCACCGAGAAGATGAGTCTTGGCGAGGCAAGGCGAGGACGCCACAGATCTCACCTTCGGCACTTCGAAGCGGACAAAACAGAGACTCGCTCGTTTGCGCCGATTGAGCTGTGCAGTCGCAGGGGGTGGTGAAGGGGGGAATTCACCTCTGTACCGAGAAGGCTCCTGAGAAATTTCAGGTGTGAGGCTCATGAAGTGATGGTGGGGTAGTTTCTTTGGATTTGGCTTCACTTACCCAAACAACTCCAAACAGTAGAAGGACAACATATAGATAAGTTTCGAGCACCTATCGCTTAAGGCCGCCCCCCGCTTTCTTTTTCCAAACATAGACATGCACATTCAATTTGTCAATGGAGACAACTTTTTGAGACAACTCTTCACCACCTCACAGATGTATCAGAGGTGTCAAATATACCTCGATCCGTTCTTTCAGAAGGCAACTTTCCAAAAGGGGAAAAACGGTGGTGGAATGAATTGCATGGTCTCCCTCCACCTGTGGTCCGGTGAAGGAGTTGCTTGGATCGATGTCATTGACAGAGGCGTCTCTGAGAAATTGATCATCCAAGTCGGTGGGATCTGAGGGTTCAGTCCAGACTGTCTGGACTCCGAGATGTTCGGATCATCCCGGATCAGGGTTTGTTTGAAGCAGTTTCTTCGGAATTAAAGTTTAGAACTTTGCGATGGGCTCTCTCTATTTGATCGCCATAAGAGGGTACCAATGGGCCCATGAGTATTTGGTTCATGTGTTTTTTGGGGACATGTTTTTCGGCTCCAGAAAGGACGCCCATTGCTTGCTTGCTCAATCTTCATGAGGGTTTCTTTGGACTTGTGGCAGACTGTGATCCGACGCCAGCAGCAAGGCTCAATCCAAGTTGTCACAGCATGCCACACCTCTACAGCATTCTACGGCAAGAACTTTACACATGCAAATTGAACACAACAATTTCCGTGGTGACCGTGGAGACTCATTCTAACAAACTGAGCTGATGGTAGGATTGCCAGCAGAGTTGGTGAGGCTTCGTTGACGGATGATTTCGATAGCTCTCAGATCCATCAGATCCGTCACACAGGTAGCAACCTTAACCTTTTCAGGACATTGCCCAGGAATCATTGAACCAAAAAGCACTTCATGGTGTCATTGAATTGGGATGACCTGTGGCCAACGCCCACGGGTGGAAGCAATACAGTATGTGAATGAAGAGAGACGGGGTTTCCACTGGTTTTCCACTGGTTTCTACCATCCTTTGTACGAGCTGGAAGGATCCACCCAGTGGCTGATGAAGATGCAACCCGAGTCTCAAAACATTCATAATTTCAAGCAACAAGTTGCGGAGTTATGGGCTAAAGCTGTCAAATCTGGTGTTGAACCAACCCGCAATGCACCAAGCTACAAGTACTTGTTTCGCCCGCCCCCGCCAGGGGAATCTAGCATCTACTTGGATGACTCAAACGTGTAGATGCATTTTGGGACCACCAGCAGTGGACGGTCACCACAAAAAATCTAGATTTTCCGCTGCAGACCGGTTTCAAACCTCAATGGCTTTCTGCATTTGAATTTCGTTTGATATGTTCTTCCGAATAGTGGCTTTTACATGAGAGCATGACAAATGTTTTCTTTGTTGGCCCATGGCAAGGGCATAAAGAAACTACATCGTAAGCAGGTTCACCGCAGAATTATTTGCAGCAAAAGTATAAGAAGAATACAATCGTATAATGAAGACATAATTATTTGTAAGAACCACATCGTATTCTTCTTCATCACGACACCGCCGTGCTCTGCGGCGGTGTGAGCTCTGCGGCGTGCTCTGCGCTCCCTGCGCCTGGGCTGGGCCTGAGGAGGGCAACATACTTTTGATGAACATGGACCGATATGGACTATATGGATAGGATTTTACATTCAGGTTTACTTCGGATCTTGCTTCTTTTGTCAAGACCAGAAGCAACTTCCAGTGCAGCAACAAGCTTTCCAGAGTGCAAGGAGGGCAAAAAGCTCAGACAAATCTGGCGGACATTCATCGATAGACGACAATCTTCATTCTTGTGGTCGCAGTACTGTAGGGTGTCCAACATCTGCTCGAGTGAAGCTTAGTGTGATTTTCAAAGGAGCAGAACTATTTGGCAATCTGCAGAGTGATGTTCTTGTGACAGTGTAACTCACCATCTCTTGCCTGCTTTTGAAGGTAAACAACGAAGTGAAGTCTTTTCAGAGCATTAAGATTCTCAGTTGTTTCCAACAACCAACTTTTGCTGGGACTAATTGTGGATATTGTGGTAGTCATAATGTATTCTTGGTGAGCGATGACTTCTTCGACTTTCCATCGGAGTCCTCAGACCTTCGTGGTGGACATGATGTGGTCCTGATTCTAGACAACGAAGCCTTTTCTTATGAGTAGCAAAAGCAATGTCTTAACTTTCGTGAGTGAGGGCTGATGGCAGTTGTAGCCTTTCACAAAAGTAGTGCTTTCTTTTTGAATGTCTCTACAGTAAAAAGAAAGAACACTAGAGGTCTACCTGATTTACCGGTCACCCCAACTTTGGTCAAGAAGCCTCGATGAGCCCAAGGTCGCAATGAGGAGCGGAAGCTCTGCGCAGAAGTACCAGCTGACCACCGCCCAGGTTTGTTTCGCCTGTGTGGCACATCTTTTATGCAGTTTCTCCAGGATTCACCACCGTTTAAAGGGTTAGGTTGGTGAAGAACTTCGGTGATTCGTTTCAGTGGACCTTGCGTTTCCAAAGAACTTCGGGGATTCGTCGGGTTTAACAGACTGCCATAAGACAGCGTCCAATGTGCGGAAGAACTTGGACAGGTCGGGCGTCAGTTTGCTTGGGGATTTTTTCGTTTCTTCCAACCCACAAAGTCACGAGCAAAGACCGACTTCTCTCTGAGGGATCGATGAGAGCCAGAGCCAGGTGTTCTCAAATTAAATACTCTATGACTCTATGATCTCTATGCTCATCCCATGGTCCATGCCATACCCGATTGGTTCACCGGATTTGTGCCCGAAACACATGGCTGCCTATGCTAAGTGAGAACCAGGCGAGGTCTGACGAGTCGACTGAGAAGACTCTTCAGAGATCCAAAGAGGTGGTACAGGGTGCACAAAATGTGCACACTTAAGGATGAAGTTGCCAATTAGAAGCGAATTGCTAATTAGACATGAAGTCAGTATTACTAGAACTAAGAACACTTATAAGAAAGACTTAGAGATACTTTTTATCCGAAGAAACAGAAACGAACTCGGGCTAATCCCCCCTAATTCCCTCGTTCATTCAATCTGGCATCAGAGAATTTGACCTCCAAGTCGGTCTCCATCCCGACCGACCCGGTGTCCAGGTGCAAGAGACCACCGCGGGCTTGGACCAGGCAGGAAGTGGGAAGAGTCTTCAGTTTCCCAGCCTCTCATCCTAATCCATGTTTAAGTTTTTTAAAACAATTTTATATATAGATTTGGTCACTCCATGGTCCATGGTCCATTCAGTCGCTCTCTTTGCAACGTGAACAGCAAAAATCGACCAAACGAGCCACATGTGTCTGGCAGAGTAGACAGCATGAGTCTTCAACCCTCGAATTGGCAACGCGTGGACGGAACATCACGATCGACCACTGTGAGTTTGCGGAGAGGCAACATAACCATTGAAAGATCATACACTGCAAAGTAATGAACGTGACCGGTCTTTTTCTGTCTGGGTGCGTGAACTCATGCACCAGGTCCCTCCTCAATTGGTGTCCAACTCTGGCGCAGAGTCCGCCACCCTTGCTTGGCGCATTGCAGCGACCGTGACTGGGACGTTTTAGATGGCAATCTTCTGACCGGTAGTGAGTGGTCGATAACTTGCAACGTAGAAATGAGGCGGACTGGACTACAGAACCGACTAGACTGGAGGTCTTCAGAGCCACCCTATCCTAGCCTGGTTGAAGCGGATGAGATGTCTCTGTAGAGTCATGCAGGATAGAGGGATAAACACATGAAACAACATGAAAAAACACTATTCGCATATATCTGCCATATATGCTGGGATGGGGGATAATCCGCACGCAGGATGATTCATATCCGTTTCAATCCGTTTGGGACATGACCATGACTCAGCCCTTGTGGAACTCATCGTTATTCACTTCGAGGTTAACGAGATGGTGTCGGCAGAGTTGGAGGATTTTGTCGCGAATCTGAGCAAATCCACATGTAGAGCACTTCAGAAGGCCGCGGGAGTGATGGCGCTGTCTCTTTTGTGTGGGAGTCTTGGGAGGTTCCAACTGGATGTAGAGTTGATGGATGTAGATACAGTAATTAAGTTGATCAGTCACAATTTCATCTCAATCTTTTGCTGGTTAATAGACTGCCCTTCCTTTGCATTATTCCAGATGGGTTCACTTGGGCTGACTTGTTCTCGAACCGTGTCCATTTGTCCATTGCTTCGACCTTTGCCCGGAACAGAGTCCAATGGTCGAAGTGCTTCGAGTAGAAGCATGGGTACATGGTCGAAGTGAGTATCTGAGGATGTACCGTACCTGTCGAATTGTTCCATCTATGCACTACGTTGGGTTGCCAATGGAAACTGCTACTGCTCAAGCCCTGACTGAAGTTCGTGCCCTATCTCCCTTAAAGCCCCAAAGCATCAATTAAGCTGATCTACGCTGCTTGGTGCTGGATTGGACCGGCACCTGTCTTGTTTAATAGCAGCTTGGTGGATCAAACCAGGATCTGCAGATCTCCAGGCACTGTTATACATAAGCACATTTTCTTACGAGAAGATGTGGTGACGTGGAAGCAGAGCTCAGCTTTCTCGGAACAAACGGATCGCTCGGACTCGGCGAGGCCATCGGCGTGCGGCTCGAGGCACCTCCTGAGGTGCCTCATGGTGGGAGGATGTGGACAATTCCACGTGGTGGGAGGATGTATTACTTTCCCTTCAGTAGGGGAAGTTCCCATCGAAGTTCGATGCATTTCCCAACAGAGGGTAGGATGTGGAAAATCGACTTGAATGAAGTCATTCATTCCCTCGAATCATATACTGTCTATGATTCAAACTTCCAAGCCCAATGACTGTAATCAAACACCAATAGACACCAAACCGGGGTTCGGGGCGGGACGCAAAAGCACCTAGGAGAGTGGAGGATCCTTTCTTGGATGGTTTTGAATGTGGCTCTGGAGGGAAATGAACGGGCTGATCCCAATTCAAAAGGTCTGAACTGCGATTTCCCAATCTTCATTTTTCGGTACATCGGAATGGTCTGAAAGATTGCTCAGCTTGGCTTGGCTTGAAGATGCTCCCGGACAGACTGATCCGGAGGAAGAGAGTTTGGAGAAGGAGCTATGCTTGTGTTGATTCACATGTTGATACATAGCTGCTGATCAGTCCAATGATAGGAATGCATGATGACATGCTACACATCGATCCACTCGTGCCAAGCTACAGTCTCATCCTGTGAATTGGGCACTTCGTTTTTGGTTGTTTGCCCCTCAAACTTGCCAACTCTGCAGTCTAGGCTTCCCAAGTGATCCCCTTTTCAGATTTGATATTATTCCCGAGAGCGCCTGAGTGAAGGGTTCTAAAACAAGAGAACAGGAGCAACAACTTACTGTAAACATGAGCATTACATTTCATCACAACTTACATCTCAACTGATCGATCGATTGAACTCGACACCTCACCGATTGGTAGCGTGAGCGGTGCGAGGCCATCTACGTGCGGCTTTGCAAGCTGGCCTGTCGAAAGGCAAAGAAAGAAGACCGTGCGAGACGGGACGACAGTGATGCTGAACCAGCAGAGTTGGGAAATCAGAAGGAGAGAGCGAAGGTGGTTCAAGTGGAATTCCAGAGCATGTTGAAGGAAAGGCCGCGATACCGATATCTGTCACGCTCATAAGTTGATCCCTTTATTCAAGAGTTTGCTCTACTTGCTGTTCTGGGGGGTTGATAGTCTCTGTGTGCGTTCCTGCCGGGCAAGGAGCAGCAAGCTGCGAGAGGAAGGACAGAAGGAGAAGGAGCCGAGACCAGTAGTTTGGCTCAGGCGCATGTGCCAGAACCTGTCGTTTACTTTTTTCCATGTCTAGATAAAGGCGGGTTCTTACTACTGTCAGGTGCAGCAGTGCAAGTATTGGTTGAACAGGTGTGGACAAGTTTGTTTCTGCTCAGCTTAGTCAAGAAGGTGTGTCCATGATGAGTTGTCTTGGCAGACACACAAACAAACAGAGATGCCAAGCCCAACTTGTACGCATTGTGGATCAAGAAGCAAGAACTTTCTGTTTGCATGTCATCCTCACACTCCTCCAAGATGTGCAAGTGGACACGCACTTGTATATTCTATGAAGTTGTTCATTTCGTTGTTGATGATCTTGGTAAAGCGAAGAATGATTTATAGTAGTTACATAAACTATAGGGATATATATATATATACCCAGATCTTCCAACGCCCATGTTTAACTTGGTCATTGTGCAATGTCGAAGTTTAACTTAGTCCTTCAGGTGCGCCTAAGTTTTACCTACAGCATGTGTTTAATGTTTTTCTCAATGTCCTTTATATTTGTTCAACAGACCCTTGAGTTTGGTGCAGACTTCAGAAAATGATCTACATTCCCATGTTCCAACCCCATGATGGCAATCTTTTTGCCATCAGCCATGATCACTATGATCATTGACGCTTTTGCTTGCCGCGTTGGGCAGCTTCACGGATACGCCAAGCAAGAGTCAGATATCGTAGCCTGGCTAGACGCAGGACACCCCAAAGTCGCCCACCCTTCAACTTCAGTTTTCCTTTTGGATCGCTCCGACGAGACCAGCCTAGGCAAATGTAGGCAGTAAATTCATGGCACGCATGTGCAAGCATGGAGAACTAGGCTTTCCACATTTAAGTACTCCCATCATATCCTCGTCAATGAACGTGTGTTGATAGCGAGGATTCAAACCTTAACGTCATTGTTGCATTGGCAAAAAAATAGACTTCAGACATTACTGAGCGACTTACAGCACAATTGCTGCCACGAAACACGATTTGAGCACTACTTCCTGTAGCATTTCTGCCATAGCCTGAATCCCAAAGCCACACAATAGAACAATAGACTAAAACTAATCAGAAATACTATATTGTCAGACAAAGTCTTGGCAAGATGCGTGCCACTTTGGTATAAGCAACCAGGAAAGCTCTTCCTTCCTCCACTGGGCAGGGAAGGCCACCCCAGGTTTTTAGTGAAACTTGTCAAACAAAACAAACACATAAACAAAACAAATTCTGCAAACGCCTTGTTGACAGCGCGTTCAACTTCTTGTACGTCTCCAAGTATACCCGGCCAGCCTTTTCGATATCTCTAGCTTGTGACAGGCTCCTGAGCATTGGATGACTCCCTGGAAAGGTTGTTTGAATGTACAAATTCAAACCACTACAGCTAGCCTCTAGTGTCTCTCTTCTTTGGTGACCCGTTGATTTGTAGTAGAGAGATAGGTTTTGAATGGCTCTACAGTCAACCTCATTTGTTCACTTTCAGTTCTTGTCCCCAAAACAAAAGACCTATCGTACCTGTTTCACTGGAAAGCATATGTAACAAACCCATCCGGGAGAATTTACCAATGACCCTTGGCCATGGCGTGAGCCGGGCTTCAGCAATCTCGAGGCTCGCTCGGTCAATCCGAAGTACCTGTTCACAGCTGTCCTTGATGGCTTCAAGAATCACCAAACACTAAGGACATCTAAGGGGTTTGAAAATTGTTGCAGTTGAAGGCCAGCACTTCCACCCCAAAAAACATGTTCCGGTGATAGTTTTGCCAGGAGTCAGTGCCACCAAAGACAAATACAATCTCTCATCATGAAGTAGGTTTGCTGGACGATTCCGGTGAGCGTCTTCGAGCTCGTGCTGGAGCCATGCAGATAGCACCCTTGCCTGGTAGCCTTTGCTGTTGAGATATGTTCCATATTCATCTTTGAAAACCATCCAAAAGTTAAACTTTTTCTGGCTTGATGGGACCCGATTCGCAGACCTCCATCTCTGAAAACTCTGATAGGCCTTCTCCAACGGTTCCTTGTAAGATGTTGGCTCTCCATGTGGTCCTACTGGTCCATAGTAGTGCATGTGGAGGAGTAAGGCCCTTAGTTCCATTTACATCCAAACCGTTTTTAGTTTAAGACATGCTGCAATGTATTGCTTACTACTAACACCATGAGTGAAAGAAAATCTGTTGTGCAAATTGGGTGCAAAGCTGATCCATTTGAGATGTGGACCAGTCCCAGATTCATGATATGAAGGCTGCAATGTTTCAGGGAGCTCACGGAGAAATAGTGAAGATCCACAAGTGGGCCTGCTGTTCACCCATTGTGACAACCACAAACTCACACAACATTGCAAAACATCTAAGGGACACGTTTCACGATATCAATATAGTGTGTTTTATTTTCAATTTAAATTAGATGTGATGTACTCTTGTTTTAAGTACATATCGAGTCAAGCCTTTTGTTTTAGATCTAGATCTACTATATATAGAAGGTCGAAGGGCACTTCCAGCTCCACCCCTTTCTTGGCCTTGATGCCCTGTTCGGCATCGGCAATGAACACTGACCCCTCCAACTCACTGTTAGTCCCTCCAAAACCTAAGCTTTAAGATTGGGGGCACATGTTTTCATTACGGGCACCAAGTGGAAAATAACCAGACCTAGATTGGATTGGGCTAAGGGACTCAGTTCTCGTGGTAATTCATCCATGACGAAGGCCTCTGTGTTTCTACGGCACGATGATCCAGCAGAATAGATCGTATAGTTGTCATTTGTTGGCCGGGTCGTCGCGTTGCAGCGGAAGCAAACCGAAATAGAATTCCAAACTGACTTGTGCTGAAATAGTTGGCGAATCCACACTTGATCACCACGTAGCTCATTGACAATGAAACGACGGCCCAGTACACCACGCTCCGTGCAACGATTGAACGAATCAACCAGCTTCTGCATCAACGGATTCACAGTGCGAGGAAAATCGACAAGCTTTGCCGACTCCAAGGTAAACAATAGAAATCTGGAGAGCCGTGTTGACTTGGGTCGGTACAAGACCAAATTCATAGTCACTCCGATGATTTTGTTGTACGGTGCATTTATGATGCCCATTGTTGCTTCATCCCCGTGAAGCCCCAGAGGCCATGTTTGACAAGTCTGCGAATCACGAAATTCTTTAGACTTTCTTGCAACCTCATCACCGTGAATCTCCAGGTGATGCCAATACTGTTGGCACGTGTCCTCACTGATCTCCAGACCGCAATGGCCCAAAAGGTATTCCAACACCTGTTCAGGCAGAATGCACGGCACTGGAGCACTGTAAATGGTATCTCCATCTTTCAATTCCACATCCACCAGACATGGCTCCTAAGATCGCACACAATATCAAACCATTGTGGAACTCATACGAATGTTTTGTTTGGCTATCGGGCGTGAAACAACTACACCAAAAAGTCGTCACTTGCTTAAAACTCGGCCAATGTCCAACGGAAGCGGTGTCCGATGAAATAGGTCTCTTGATGAGTTCCGACCTGTGGCATACGAAGCCAATTTGGAAGTCCACGGTCCCACATGACCTTCAGCCTCCTGCGAACATGTTTTTGAAATGTGACTTGATTGGTCTGACACCAATATCAACGAAACGTGCTATGCATCCGGTTCATCATCATCAAACAACATAGAACGCCAATACCAATTGAGTGTGCAACTAATGTCCTCGAAGCTTGCCCGAACTGATTCCATAGCTGACTTTGCTGAAGCAGCCTCGCAGAATAAAAACAACAAATACAATGAAGGAAAGGATGTGACATAAATATGACATACAATGTAACTTATCATTATTTTTGTTCCTCTTCAACTAGAAAATTAATGTTATCGGTTTTGAATTGAACCTTTGAGCTGGACCTTATCGTTTTACTGGATTCTGTGCTAACCTGGTCTTTACACGGGTTTTGACTGTAGATCTACTTATCAATCGAGCAGCGCCAGATGCCAACTGTTCCACTGTGCTCCGCTTCAGCGGACCAGCAACGGCAGGATCACAGCCTGCGATGGAAACTAGACTCCACCACCCATACAAAGATCACCCCAGTTGTGCATACTCGACCACACATAAGCTCCAAGTAATCACACATCACACTCGCGACACTTAGCGTTTATCGGCTGCAATCCAGAAGTCCTGGTGCCTTTGAGATCTGGTGCCTTTGGCCCCCCTAGCGACATCACAAATACACGAGTTACCATGGCTTTGAAGCCGACCTTCACATGTCCACATGGCAACCCCACAGATTGCACAGCTCCACCATCAATTCCGAAACCAAACAATGACTTGTCCACACACCTGAATTGTGAAATTCCAATGACTTAATGATACATGTTTGGGTAATTTGGGTGGTTCAACTATTTGATACACAAATATTCAACGATATTCAACGCCAATGGAAAGTGTTGCCGGTGTAGCTTCCTGCATCCCGTCAGCCCTCTTGGCTGGAAACCCACGCACGAATTTACACCGAGCTGGTGGCTCATTTTTTGAATACAATCGTGATGTACAATAAAGACAAACACAATTAATTGATATGGTTGAGTTTGCTGATTACTATGAGCCAGGGCGAGTGTCCGATGCATTGGACACAAATCAATCCCATTCAATCCCTCGCAGCTACTCAATCTTTCGATTTCTTTTGCTTTTTTTGTTTCAGTGGCCCACATGCTGTCTCAAGACCCTTCTTGGCGTCTTCACAAACGGTGATCAGCTCATGCGAAGCCTGGCGAACAAGTGAGTAACACAATGGTGCCTGGGAGATTTGTATTTCAAAAAATTACTACTCTGCTAGGAACAGTGATCCAAAACATATAGGCCGTTTGAACTCAGTCAACATGCCTCCGATTTGTCGAGAGCAGTTTGAAGGACTTTCCGCGCTTCCTGCCAACATTCCGAGTCTACAACTAATGCACATGCGCACGCAATACCAAGGCTCATATCTAAACATCCCAAAGTATGGCCTCGAGTGCAGATTGTTTCGCTTCAACATCAGCAG